AGATAGGTTTGAAATAAAACGTAAAMATTATTTTTATGGAATGCAGAATGAAGTTATTTGATCTGAACTCCCTGGCCACAAGGGATAATAAGCTTGCATTTTTCAAAAGTGACAGGAGACGTGACTACCGATGGTTGGGATCTCCCGTCTCTCACTTTCCAAGTGACTCTAGTGTCGTCTCTGCCACTCGCTGTAGTTTCCAACCCTGGCTCAGAACAAGGAGCACCCTTATTGTTCTGAATCTCTACCATCACCTGCATCTCAAGTGTCTACTGAGGCAGAGTGTTAATTCTGTTGCACAGCATAAATGGAGATAGCTGCAAATGGCAAATTATGGATTGCTAAATAAGCAATGCTTAAATGGTCTCTAAAATGAAGACTCTCCCATACTTCAAAAAATAATCCATTTTTACCACTTTTATCGCTACCAGTAAACTAAAGAGCAAATTAATGCATTGCTACCACTTCAGTAAAAGGAAATGCGCTCTGATGGATTTAGTTGGATATTAAGGATCCAAACACCAGGGCTCTTTTATCCATAGTTCTCACATTAACACATATAGCAATTCTAGGTAAATTTTCTTATCTCTCTTTACCCMTCTGTAGAAAAAAGGAAAGGATATCCCAAGAGCTGAATGATGCTTAATTATTATTATTAAGCACTTTAGAGACTCAAACTGGAAGGTATTGCATCCTATAAAGATTTGACACATGATTAGTCTGCAGACAGATGAGACCGATACTTATATTAGTCCTGATGTACAAAGCTGCCTATCTGCAACTGTAATTTCCTTCAACTCTACCTGTTAAACCTAGCTGAGGATTTAAACCAGGGATATTTGTCTAACAGACCATGGGTATTACGTGCTGTCAAAAGATCAATGCTTTAATTCACTTCCAGGCATTTTTCTTCTAAACTACTCCCAAGAAAATTTTGGGAAGGCATTTGCTGAGAGAAGTTACTTTATCCCAAGAAGGGAGTGGGCATAGGCAGCCATTGAACATCATAAACAAGAACATCCAGTATGGTCAACAAGCTACATTCTGAAGGCAGGCAGAGTTTGTACGTGAAAGGACATAAAGCTGCCTTATAAATGGTTTCCTCCCACTTTTTTCACCAAAGGAGGATTTGTAGAAAACTAAATGCTAGAAAAGCCTAGTCACTCTGTTTTTGATAATGCCATGCATCAGTAAAGATTTTTTTATTTTAAAGAACCTGAAGCATAAATGCCAAACACGTTACAAGCAAGAGACGCCTTTGCAGCGAATAGCAGCTCCTCTTGTTAGTGTTGTCTTCCTGCCTTTGAAACTCAGGCTTTGTTCTTCAGAGCATGGAGAGTTCATGAAATCTTTGCAGTGCTACAAAAGCTCGCCAATTAAAGCCCACATGGAAATACTATGAAGAAAGGATCATTATTATAATGACAGGTGCACTGTACGTAACAGATAGCAATTCCCTTCTTCAAGGATAATTACAAAAAAAATCTGTAAAATAATCAAGGCCTTATTCAGCCGACCAGAAGATGGAAGGCAGCTGTACAAGCACCAATGTTCAGAATGAAGTATGGCCAACACTGAGAGCTGAGGCYGGCCCCCGTGGGCATGCTAAAAAAGAGTTTGATGCTATGCATCATTGCTGCCTGATGGAAGTACTCTAGGGCAGGCACACAGGTATTTTGGAAAGAGTAATTGCCAGTGGCTGCCTATTGAAWTAGATGCATCAAATGGGGTTGCAGAGGTTTGTCCTGGGCTGAATCAATATTTGCAGAGGTCACAGGGATGCTGAAATATAGAATATGCTGATTGCATTTTCTGATGAACTTCACATGGGTGAAACTGCAAGCACACTGAAGATTAGGATTAAAGTTGGAAAAAAATGAATAAATTACAAAAGGGTCAGTACAAGCTGCATTTAGCCAGGATCTCATGCATATAAAGACAAAAAGTTATGTGCTGAATTATGGAAAGAACAGGATTATAAAAGTAACTCTCAAAGAAATACACGTCAACAACACTCTTTTACCAGAAATAAAGTAAGCACCATCCCAGGACATACAAATGGGAGAGGTGCCCACGAGCCCAAGAAGAAATGAGTTCAGGCTCACACGACCCAACACTGGTAAAGGCTCGAGTGCAGTTCTCTGGTCAGTTTTGAGCACTCTCCTTCAGACAGATGGAGAGCAGCTTCAGAGACCAGATGAGAGTGCTGGGCACAAGAGCCATCTAGGAAGTATATCCGAGTAAAGCAGGGCTGTAAAGATTATGGAGGAGAACACTTAGAGCTATTGAGATACGCGTTCAAATATGTAGCAGGGTGTTGCAAAGTGGAAAAGCATATTCTGCTGCTGCCTTTTCACAAAGAACAGGGCAAGAGGGAATGGATTTAAATGGCAGCAAGGAAGATTTAGATTGGCTTTTAGGAAAACCATGTTGGTGAAAGAATGTAATAGCAAGCAGGAGTCAGGGAGTTTTTTTTTAAAAAACTCCCATCACTGGGAGTTTTTAAGAACGGGTCACCTGGCAGGAAATGTTTATGTACATCTAACGCGGCCTTGGGAGGAGATGGCCTTTATTTTTTATGATTTTATCTTATTTATGTGCATGCACACACACACATCATGCATTCTATGCATATTCATGTTTGAAAAACAAATTAACTTGATGAAATTTGATCTAATTAATTTGATCACTTCACAGTTTTCTGCTCTCTCTACTCCTCCTCTACAGCTACTCTCATTCCATATGGCTCCGATCGTGCAGTATTTTTGGCTTAACCTTCCTCATTCTCAGCTTCCCTTTTCCTTCCTCACAAACTGGGAACCGTTCCTTCAAAAATCTCRGCTACGAGGACAACATAAAAGTTAAGAAACCAATAATTTGCAACCCCGAAGAATGAAGAGCACGGGAAACATTCATTGTATTAAGTTTTGACCTTAGAGTCATATTTTTTAGTGTTCAGGAAAGATTCAAAAACTCTCTTCAGCTGTGATTTTCTCTCCTTTAGCACAGGGCTCGGAAGGCTGCCCATTGGTGCACTGCAGCCCTGATCAAAGACTGCTGCCCCTCTGCTACCTCTCCCTTCGCAGCTCTCCTGCCAAACTAAGCCCTTTTGGTCGCTCTAATTCTCAGCTCCTCTACGGCAACTTTGATCATCTTAGGCTCCTACTACTGCCAGGAGAAACATGTTGCCTTTTCCAGGGGACAAGTAAGCCTGGTTCAGCTCAGATCTGCCCTCTGGAAATCCTTCTCTCTGCCGACTACAGAGCGAGCCTAAGGGCTCGCCTGTGAACTTGCTGCTGGCAAGTACAGTACCCTCAAGGAAAATGCACTGAATTGCTTGAAGRAATCTCCTTTCTCGGAGACAGAAAGCTTTGCCCGGGATAGGGACCCCCTCACGCTCRTTGGCCTAGGGTAGGTACTACAAGGGGAACGTGGAAACTTTAGAGGGTGCCTCTCCTGTCAGACCCAGTGACTACGACTGGCACACACGGAGAGCAGAGGCAGCCCCTACCCGAGGCCTTGTGGCCAGAAATTTGTCCTGGCAGGAAGGTGACAGGGCCCTCCATGGGGAGACACGGCCGGTGGGAGGTCACTGGAGGCTGCGTGGGGCCTGTGGCGCTCGGAGCCCACAGAAACCCAACCGCGGGGTGAAGCGCTCAGCACCTCCCTGCAGGGCAGCGAGCAGGTAGCGACACGGGGACGCTCGGTAGCCCAACAAAGACATAAAATAAAAGAGAGGCAAAACTTGGCTTCCAGTGATGTGATTACTCAGGAGAGCGCAGCTCACCGGGGTAAGGACATTACCAGAGGCTTCCTGTTTAGTTCTTTGTAATTCACAGTATGTGCACACTATAAAACAGGACTCTGAATGACAAATACTCAGGAGATTTTTTTTTTTTTTAAATTGAGCAGAGCTGTATCAAACAAAAAATCACAAGGGTTAATTATTTTTCCCCTGCAAGAAAAAAAAAAAATACTTTTAATCATTCAGATTCTGCTTTCCCCATGGCTGAGCTGAATAGTTTATCTTTTTTTCATGAAAAAAAGATACACATATATTTAGAATCTATCACTGCATTGCCATGTTTCTGAATGACAGTTTCATAAACAAACAATAAATAACTATGGGATTTTTTTAACTCTCTATTAAGAAAAGAGCTCCTAGCACCTCAAGTGGGATATTTTCATTTTACGTCTCAYGAAGCAGCACATATCCAAAACACGCCTGTATGAAAACTTTTGGAAAGTTTCCCATCTGCCTTTGCACTGCTCTCTATGGCAATGGCACAAAGAGCTATGGTACAGGGGGTTTATGGCCATGTCACCTCCACTACTCTTCAGAGCAGCTCTGTACAACATACAGATAAGGACTTAACTGACTATGCTAGAACTGGCTGCAGTGGCTCCATAAACCTAAGAACATAAATGCTAGTTAAACCTGAGGCAGGAATTATTTAGTTAAAAGGAGCTTTGAAGTTTTATTTAAAAAATTCTCTTTAAAATCTCTATAAAAAATAAAATGTATCTTTGGAGTCATAAAGTTTTCAWGCCATCAATGAAAATTAGCTTGGCACAAAAAGAATTACAAATTAAACAATCAATAATTTTGACATTTCAAAAAATGTAACCACATCGCTCCCTCAAAGAAATCTAAAGCACCCTCATCTCCCAGCCTTGTTTCAGGTCTTGTTTCTCATGCAGCCATCGGTTTTGACAGGAGCGTTTGTCTCAGTTCGCACCCAAAGCTGGGGCAGCGACCCAGTAACCAAGGTGGGAAAAGCTACATCCAAAGGCTGCCCATCCACAGCCACCCAACCAGTGCAAATCTCAGGTCTGGATTTACAAAGTGTTCTCAACCCATCTCCCTCAGTGGAACTGCTACATTAGGTACAATGGTCACTGTACCTAACTGATCTTTTTCACACCCACTTGTGAAGTCTTACTGGCCCAAAACTGGTGCTGCAAAAGCCTGGCAGGCTTTGTGGGGCGGACAATACATATCATAGAGCATTTGGATCCTTTGGTGTGGATGTACTGGAGAGACACTGCATCTATTGCAGAGAGAGAGAGAGCTTTGAACATTATATGCACCAAACAGAGATACAGAATGTCGTACAGAGTAGGAACAGTACTAAAAAAAAAAAAAAACCCAAAGGAAAATGAGCTATTGATTTCATTTGAATAAGACATCTAAGACCCCAGTATTTATTCAGTATCTTTGGCAGTGTGGGACTTACTACRGCATGTGTCATGGTTCAGACACATGGAATACGCAGATTCTGATCCCTCCACAGCAGCTTAGCACTGCTCTGAGAAAACAGACCTTCCTTCACACTTTYGTTTGTTTCAGATAACCTTTGTGTTATCTGAAACCACAGAAACCACATCCTTGTGAGCAGTTCCACTGAAATCAAYGGGACTGTTTCTGTGGCTATAGGAGAGCAGACTTACACGCTCAAGGACTAGGAACTTCCACGCTGTTTACATACCGTTTAAACACTCTGCATCACATATACATCTTCTTGCTTTCTGATTTGCAGTCGTTCACGTGTTTTGCAGCAGTTTTCATGCCAGGAATTACCTGGATCTTTCTTTGCATTTTGTAGCTGTCTTGTTCTTCCAAGGAACTGAAAAGAAGATGCAAGCAATTAGAAATACTGATCTCTTACATTTTCAGCATATCCTCTTGAGCTGTAGCATTCTCCAAAAGTGCAAACACAGAATTCATGAATTGTGTATTGATATAAATTATTGAAAATGCAAATGATTACAGTTGTACCTTCCTCTGCTGCAATATTAATAAGAAGGATTTGTGTACTATAGCAAGAATAATGAGAGTTTATCTTTGTCTGGCAAGTTCTCTGCTATCTATGAATTTTAGGAAAGGCGAATAAATTGTTCTTTCCTTTCCCATTTGGGTTTTCATTTGTTCTCTGCCTGAAGTGCCTCCTACCTGGGCACAACAGCTCTAAAGAAAACTCTGTTTAAAAACAACCACTTGCAGATCACTGCTGCTTCGAGATCTACTTAAATTGTAGTTCACTCTCAGCTACTATCAATGGTCACCATTCAGGTTTTACTTTTCACATCAATAAAATAAATAAATGAACAGGATTTGTTTCATGATTCAGGTGGGGTTATTGGAGATTCTGAGATGCAATGGTTCAGCTGAGAAGTACGGCCTTACTGGCCAAGAAGCAGTAGAGTCAGCAGGTTGTATTAGTTTCCTCTGAAGTCCTGTAAGCTCTACTGAACTCATAAAAATGACAAAAAATAAATCAAAGCTAGGCAGGAGAGCAGGAAATAATGTGAAAGAAAACATAAAGGCAAAAGGAACAAAAATGTATAATAAAAATGTAAATAAAGATAAAAATAGAAAGCAGATTCTTTACTACTGTGTGTAGGTTGCCTGTTGGCATCCTTTCAAGATGACTAATGCACACCTGACCTGGGATTTTAGCTCAGGGCTCACAAAATACCTCATTGCTGTCTGARGCAGTACAGCGCTGATGGGAACAGTGTTAGTGCTCTCTTTGTCAGAGCYAAGAGTCACAAATACAGCAAATTTGATCCTTTGTTAACAATAGTTTTCTCCTTTCTTCCTCTCCTCATTTTGTGAAAAATACAGGCATGTCACTCAGCTGCCTTCCTTCTCTGGGTACTTCCCTATTCCTGGACAATGACAATGCAGAAGATTCCCCAATGACAGCAGTAACATCTCTCGCCTTTGGAGTACAGCAGTAACCAGCCGCTGGGCTGTAAGGTGGCTCTGATGTTCTGAAGAGCTTGAAATCTTAGCTTCCAATGGGCTCTTATGACTCTGCATTTTTGGAAGGAAAAAAAGGAAGTGTATTGAAAGAAAAAAAAAAAGTCAGTTAACAAAGAGGAGGAAAAGATTTCAAGCAGCTCTGTTGAGCTGTGCAGGAAGCTCAAGAGAACTAAGCGCTCCCGTAGGCCGTCTCACYGTGGCTTGGCTGAGGCGAGTGCCCCCATTGGCACCACGTACGTCCGGCACCGCGGGACACACCGGGGAGCTCCGCACSGAGTCCTGCGGAGGCATCGCGGGGGCTCTGCTCACCTGCGCCTTCTTTCTGGCCTCAATGGGAAGACGCCCTCCGGCACTTAACACACTCAGGTCCTGACGGAGTTCAAGCCACRGGACCAAACCAAGGCCAGTCAAAAGCACAGCCCTCGTGTGGTTCTGCTCAGGGCCGCTGCCTCCCTGAGCCCTGCACAGTGCGTGCCAGGTACTCGCCGCCAGATCTTCCATCCCACTACCCGTTTACATAGACATAACCTTTGTTGAATTACCATTTCTTCAGAGCCATCATTCTGCTGTTTTGTGCTCAAAGAAATTAAAGTGATAGTTTTTATTTCCAGAGAACAATTTGGATACTAAATCCTTGTGTACACTGTGGCACGTGCTGTTTTCTCAACTTTCTACCCCATGTAGCTACCTGAGATCAGTCCTGTTCTGGTGTTACACCCCCTGACAACATCCTCTTCACAGTTCATTACCAGACRGCTATTTCCTTTTGGATCCTGTGTCTTTTTCATCCATTGGGTTTGAGCATCCAGGCACTTCACAAAGTGTGGCCTCTGAAATGTMCTCCCCTGAGTGCACTCCAGGGCTAACAGCCCTAGTGAAGAAACATCCCATGGTAYGGTTACTGCCTTTAAAAAACAGAGCAAAACCACTGAAGAAGCTGGGGAAGAAAAGGGAGCAAGTCACACCACCTATATTTAACCCAAATTTAGATGTCCTCAAGAGTCAACGCAAAGAGATGGGGCTTCTCCGGAGGCCAGCTCTGCACAACTGTATTAGACTCCTTTTCTGAATCACCCTCCAGGGAAGTGTTTGCTTTCCAGCAACTACAGCGGAGTCCAGGGAAGCAGCTGGCAGTGCTGATGGGCCACGGGCAGTTTGTGTGGCCAAGTCCTCATGCTGGTGTTAAAGTCAAAAACATGCTAATGTTAACAGAACCACCGAAAAGTAACACACGTACAAATGCCACTGCCTCCCTCTGCACTGCTGACTGCCTTCAGAGCTTGGTCCRTGCTCTCCAGGCTCTGAGCATTTCCTTCCCCTCTTTCCTTATCCYGTCTTCTCATTCAGGCACTGGCATGTCTGACCCTGCTCTTACTCAAAAATAGGGATGCCACAGAGCACGGTAGTAACAGTTTCAGTTGGAAAAAGCACTTTAAGTGCAGTGTGAGGCTTTTTTTGTTTGTTTCAAACTGAAAAGATTTGCAAATCTGTATTTTCTATACTGTTTTCAGTGGAAAAACTGGGGGAAAAAAGGGCATTAAAAAGTCTAAACATTTCAACAACAGCAAGAAAATCCATTTTTTTTTTCTTTCTATTAGAGGGAAGCTCTGATAATTTCTACGTGCCGATTTTTTGCCTCTTAGCTGGAAAACTCATAAGCCTGTGTCTTTGTTGCCAACCTGAAGCGACTCCCACTGATGATTTTCACAGCTCGAGCAAGCCCCTGGTAAAAGACATTAATCAAGGTTCCATTCAAAACTGAGGATGAAATATAATGAGGGTTCCAAAAAATACAATTTGTAATACAGGCAAATATGGGCAAAACATCACCAGCACCCACCTTCTGAAGCACCATTCAGAGGGAAAAATGACTTATGCCTTGATTCTATTTGAAGGTGCGATTTGTTAGATTGTAGTCGCAATATAAAAAGACAACTTTGCAGAGCAGCTAAAACYCTGGCTTAATATCAGTATTTCATGAAAAATGAAACCAGGGATCGCTTTGAAATTATTTCTTTTCACTTGTCCATGTATTYGGCCAGTAGTAGAAAGGGCTGTCAAATATTATAGCCAAGAAAGAAGTGACACAAGTAGAAAGAACTGGAGGAAAAAATATTTTAAGCTTAACATTGTGCTTTAGAGTGAGGATTTTCAACCATTCTAGTAAACCATGGAACATGATAGAGCTTTTTTGCAATATAAATAAAGAAATAAAACATCATCTGTAAACTTCTCCATTGCCAAGTTTATCTGTCTATACAACATTAACACAACAAACCTCTTGGTTGAAAGGCACTGTACAAGCAAAGGTACCACTGAGACCTTCTGTCTGTGTCAACACATGCCCAGGCCTCCCTTGGCTCAATAAGGGCTTTGCTCAACCAATTCTGAAAGGTCAGCACCAAGCAGAGAAATCTTGCAGCAGTCAGAGCCAAATTTTGCAGCAATCAGAGCCAAAAATCACGACTTTCCTGTGCAGTTCCCACATATGCATGCTATTACAGACCATATGAAGAGATCTATTTTTGAAGGGATGTATAGCTATGCATTTTGAAACAGTATTTAAAATAGAACAGGAATAACGTCTGCATGTTGCTCCAGAAACTTGCGAAGTTTCRTAAAGTTAGTTCGGTGTCAGGTCAGTTAAAGCTTCAGGTGATGTTCAATAAACTCCCCTAATTTTACCCTTCCCCTTTCACCAAGTAGAATTTAGGACTAAATTCATTCTACATTTCTGCAGGGTTATAGCAGAGATAAATTTGGTCAATATGTATTCATAGCTGTGCTAAACACTTTACAGTAGTTTTCTTATGATATCACATGGAAGAGCCAAAAATAACTTGTTTTTTTCCAGGGTCCTCATCTAATTCTCTAGCAAATATAGTTGCTGAATGTAAATTAATGGTTATTACAGCAYCTGCTCTGCATTTCCCTTATTTTTATAGTGAAAGACTGACTTGACTTCTTATTTTGATAAAGCAATAGTAACACACCTGCTGGAGCCTGCTATATTGCTACTCCAGGGAAAGATGGTTAATTGCATTTTCTACCTATTAGAAAGAGAGGATTTTAGATTTAGTATCATCTTCCATGACATTCTTTAAACATCTTATCAAAGCTTTCCAACATCACAGAGAATTCACTCCTCCTTATGAGACACTGCCCACGAAGAAAGGCTTTGCCAAGACGAGCTTGTCGGGGAGTGAATCCACTCTCGACAACACTATTTATGTCTACAGTGAGAACACTGTTGTAATTGCAGTAATAACAAAAGCATTAATAAAGACCTCCTTACACGTACCAAAACRATTCTTCGGAGAAGGAACAACAGTGCATAATCCATAAGACTTAAATTAACTCACAGACTAGGACATAGCTTTGGATAAATAAAAGTGCAGGTTGTGCTTACTGGCAAAATCAGGCAGGACTGGTTTCTTCTTCGTTTTAGCGGAGAAGGRAAAAAAAGGTTATTAAGGGCCAAAACATTAAATTTACATTTGGTTTAGGAGTATAAGCCTTTTATAAGCATTTAGCAAAGAAAGAGGTGCCAATTGTGCTGATGAAGTCACTGGCTAATGGCTTGAGCGAGGGAGGATGCTCCTAGTACCCACTCACAGATGATCTGGAAAGCGCCAGCGACTCCCTCCCCATCTCTGGAACTGAGGGGAAGAAAATAAAGAAAAAACCCAAASATAACAGGCTTAGAGCGTCCACCTCTTTTGTTTGCCTTGGCAATCGGCAGTTTTGTTTTATGGAAGGACAGGGATGACACGGGAGGATCTGGTTAATGTGCCTTTTAGTCACCACTGTTAAGAGTGAGAGACAGGTGTTGGCGACATGAGCATCCCGGAGGGACTG